ACTAGCCCGAAACTACCCCAAAAAAAGAGGCACGCAACACTGGAGCTGCAAACTGGCGAAAAGCACTACCTCGCTCATTCCTTTTAGTAAAGACCCCTGGAAAAATATGTCCAGTAGTGATAGATTCCCTTGAAAACCAACAGGGGAACATAAAACATATTCTTAAGCAAATGGAAGGCTCCCGGTGCTTTTGTGGCATTCTAACCATGGCTGGCTGCGGAGGCGCCACCTGGAAAAAGTGTGGCGTGCCTTGAAGAGAGTCCCCGAAAAGGAGCTTCCTCTAAACATGTGTTGTCTTCTGGGGGGGATAGAGCTTGCAAGTTCGAAGCCGACAGATCAACTGTGGCAACAACAGCGCGTCCGCAGAACGAAGAAGTGTAAGAATACACGGTCCTTATGACCTTTTCCCTTAATGTGCCGAGGGTCGGCGGGTGAATCTTGCTTTTTTTTTGAGGCGCCTTTGGGAAGCTGAAGGTACCAGCACTTTGGGGGGCTTCCTACTTCAACCCAAGTTTCTCAAGTGGGATTTGCCGTGAGAGAGTTATTCACCAGGGGCAACGTGGGGTCCAAGTATGTGTTCAGTCCCGTTGCGTGGGCAGGGTAAGCTCCACGGAACGGGGACTTATCCGAGATAAGCACTTAATAAATGCGGCGGTCATCCAAGAGTTCTCTGAGAACGGTAAACACCTGGCAATTGTTTCCTCTCAACGCCATGTCAGTGTGCATCCGAAACGACTAGGTGGCCTCCTAAGTCCATTGGGTGTGGGTCAAGCATTTAGGTGCCGAAAAGGGTTGCCTGGTAAATGGAATCACGGACTGAAACCTGCGGTCCATATCCCGGTGCCTTCTTTTTGACCCATACCCACTTGAGTCACAATCAGAACCTGGTATTTAAATGGTCTACCCGGAGCCATGCTTCAAGAATTAAGAAGGCGGATATCCGCAACTATTTGTGGTTGGGACTGCCCCCGTAGTAACCTTCATCAATCCCCGGGTTTTGATTGTGACTCAAGGAGTTGAAAAAACAGACGGCGACATGTGGCCGGGCCACGAATGGCTTGCGCTTCTGCAAGTGCGGCAGCTTCAGGATCTCGTCCAGGTACCAATCCTGCACGCTTCGGCAACCGCAACAAATCTATTTCGCGCCACCTAGAATGAACAGCCCCCGGGAAATGCCAACGAACAGTGGCTTGCCCCGGTTTCTTAGGTGGTTTCTTGGTTGACGTTGGAAGGGGAGCATCATTTTTCATTTTTTAGCAGTTCAGTGGATTTGGAGGTCAACCACTAAACCACAATGAAATGTGTCCCAACAACCATGAAATAACTTGCTGGTGCGATAGTCAGGGAAATGATGGTTTATCGGGGTCGTGCCCTCATTTCCTGCGCAAATCCCAGGTGTTTCATTGAAGACACCCCGCCAAAGCTGACGCGTTTCGAGAGCCTCATCTGCTCCGGGCGGTGTGTTGGTCTCCCCCAGAAATGTTCCGAAACGACAGCTCACCTATTTCCAGCCTAAGGACAGCCGGCCGACGGGCTCGGCTTGAAAACGCGAAGAACCTGCTGATTGCCAGGACTGTATCCAAATTTGGGACGAGTGAACTGTATCTTCGTTGGAATCAACAGTCAACAAAGTAGTGTCTCCCATCAGGTACCTGGATGTTCAACCAAATCTGGGCTATAAAAATGGTTCTTTCTCGGGACCAACCAACCAGTTACTCAAGCTATAACCCTGGGGATGGCTGGGAACCACCAAGAGATGGAAGACGTGTCGCAAAAACGAGAAAATCCGCCAAAATTGGAGGTAGCAACTTTGATTTCCTCATCATCCCAAACTAGCGGCGTTTTTAAGACACGTCCATTTAAAAAACGTGTCATCTCTGTGCCAGAGTAGGACTCTCTTCCCTACTGTGGACGGACGACTTCCTGCACCACTTGGCAAACCGTAACCTCTGTTGGTATTTACAGGGAAATCATATCATTACAGGGTTGTGTTACTACTTTGATTTTTTTGGTGTCATTTTTTTTTGGGGGGGGATACGCCCCAAAACCCAAAAAACTATGGTCTCACTAGGACTACATTTGGGGGCTTACGACTTTCAGCCAAAACCTGACACTTGGTATTGCCCAGTCCAAATGGGACTCCTCAAAATCCCTCTGGAAAATACCCACCGGTCCGGTCTTTATAACTGCATCTCCGGCTTGGAACCATCTCTGTACAGGCAAATCACAAATAAATCCGCCATGGCATGCAGGAACCCTCATGGGGCGAGCTCAGCTTCAAATCCCCCAGCGAGCTGGCCGCTTTGAAGGGTCTGACCAGCCCCAGCTTCGTGTTCCCAACCCCACAACCCAAAACCGAAGCGGCCGCCAAACCTCCCAAGCCGCTCCGAAACCTCTCAGCCCCTCGGCCCCAAAGCGACATTCAGCTGCTGGGGGGGGGGGAACTCACTTCCCGAGTTGATGGGCCAAAAAGAGCTTGGACTTTTGATTTACCGCTAAAATGGTCTGTCCAAAAAGTTGTTCAAGTCCAACTCAGGAAGTGAGTTGAAATGAGACGGGGTTCCGTTGCGGGCCACGGAGGCTTTTCCGAAGCCCACGGCACCGGCCTCTCCGATGAGGATCATGAGGGGAACGTCGGGGTCACCCTCAAGAGCCACAGCCAGTGCTTCTGCGAGTTCCTGCGTGCGGCCAGTTCTGTGACCCCCTGGGTCACGAGCCAACGAGGCGTACCCGATGCTTCCGGTAGCTGGGCTACAATAGCTGGTGACAAAGGGATTCAAAAACAAAAAACTGGCATTTGGGGTGGTGGTGGGAGAGGGCACACACATTTGTCCCATCAGGCACTTGGATGTTCAACCAAGTCAGGCACTTGGATGTTCAACCAAGTCTAGGTTATACCCCAACCAACCAGTTACCCAATTTTTCACCCTGAGCTGCCCTCAGATCCCTGCTAAAAGCTTAATGCTTAGCGGGTTGAACATCAATGTAGTCTAACGAACATCCACCTCGCTGAGGCCAAAAAAAGTCGAGAAGGCTTCAGCAACTTGGAAGGTGATCGGAAGGGAGTCCCCCTCAGTTGATCGATCTTACTGGTGTCCGTTGAAACGAACATATCACCTTTCGAGGTCAGAACAAAATGGGCATTGAGGGACCCCTGTTCCATGATTGTTGAAAGAGGGTAAAGAAACAGAAGTAAATCAAATATCCAAACAGGGTAGCCAATCTTCATCAAAGCCCACATAGAGCAGTTGGTCCGCAATGCATGGGAAAGTGATTGCCTTTTTGGAGAATTTGGGCCAAGGCCGCCCGCAGAAAGGGATTCAAAGAAGACGAAGGTCATGAAATGCGCCGCGCAGTGGCAACTCAGGGATCAAGAAATCCCCACTTGGAGGGATGCCCATTCCAACCCCACCCCACCCCCACCCATGGCTATTTCTGGGAGTGTCTGCTGCAGAAACGGCACACACAAACATGACAGATTTCGGGCAACACAGCAGCACCCAAAACCCCTTTGACGTTTGGTTCTACCCACATGGTCGCAGATCATGTCTAGTAGAACCACGCGCTTAAGTCCCGAGAACATCGGTTTCTGGGCGTCCCTTGGTAGAGATCATAAGGACAACAGGAAGGGGCAAGCATGAAACACAAAACCAGGTTAGCTTTTGCCCACCCAAAATTAAGGCTTAGATTTTGAGAAAACCGGAAGGAAAGCCGGAATCCATTTTGGGGGGTCCCAAAAAAGATACCAAGTTGGGTGTGTCTGTTTTTTGGTGGATTTAAGTGAAAGCCAAAAGGATACCACTCATTTCGGAGGTCTTAAAAAAGACCCCCCGCCCATGTGCTTCGCCCAGCGGCGGTTTCGTCCAGGGCCTGCACAGGCTCATCGAGGCAGGCGCGCGCCACGTATGTCTCGAAGGCCATTCGGCTGACGATCTCGGGGACTGCGATGATGACCTTTGGCCGCGTGACTGCGATTGATGGAGGTTAGGTTTGGGATGGTCCCAACCATAGGTGGCCTTTTGGAAAAATAGATGGCCCTGGTAAATGAAACAAAACCCATCTAAACCAGGGCCATCTATTTTTAACCAGGCTCACCTAAAAAGGACACCTATGGTCCCAACCATAAATTCCAAGGGTGGAGGTACACACCCCTTCTTCATGGGGGGGAACACCCCCTCCAAAAGTGGTCTGATGACCCCCTAAACCCAGGGAGAAGCATCCCCCTAATGTTTGATGACCTGAGCCGCATCCAGGGATTGATGGAGGCTAGTAATGTTAACCCCGGATCTAAGTAGAACCCCTGGTTGATTTTGATCGGGGATTAAAAGGGGGGTGTCCCCTTTTAGTGGTTGGATTCGGACCGCTTTTGGAGGGAACACCCCCCTAATAATGGGACGGGTTGACTAATCCTGGGTGGCCAACATTAAGGGATAGTCCCAACCATAAATGGGGTGCCGTATCTGGGCCGCCTTCCGATGTTCCTCATCCACCAAACAACCCACAATCAAACCCAAACAAATGATGAAGGTAGGGATCATCCCCTTGCCATAGGTGCGTGCTGATCTCCGCCTTTTCATTCTTGAAGCATGGCCCTGGGTCCCGACCTTTTAATACCGATCCGTGTTGACTATAACTCACCGGAGAAACGACCAATTCGCTGTGGCCGAAATTCGCTTCTCGCATCCAAAAAGAAAAGCCATGGTTGAAACCCATACTGATGGTTGCGAAATCCGCCCGCGCACCACGGTGAAGTGAGACCATGGGAAGGAAACCATAAGATTTGCTACTGTAATTACTTGGTTGACGTTGGGTTAGGGGAGCAAAAAAACAACTTTAGCAGCTAAGTGGGGAGTTCAACCACTAAACCACAATGAGCAAAATGTAAAATGTTTCCCAACAACAACCATGTTTACATTGGGGAATCATCTCTCATTTGGTTGGGTTTCTGATTTCAGTGGTGCGAGACTCGTAGATTTCGCGAAACCATCCACGGTAGCTAAACTATCATAGAAGTTTTCCGCTTGGACCAAGGAACCTCTAAACTTGATCTATGTTCGTCTTTGTGTGTTTGGGGGGGGGGGGGGCGGCGGGGGTGGTAAAACTGGCCCAAGAAACCAGAAACCCCCACGGAATGACGTACGCTTTCCCAGCGGGTAAATACCGTAACAAACCTTGTGGCTTCCTCCGACCATCTAGGTCTTCCAGTAGAGAGGTTAGAAAAGTTGGTACCAACTTTTTCGGTAGTCTATCTAAGTAGGGGACCCTCCCAACAAAAAAATGATAAAGGGCACTACTGGGGGACCTAGTCAACAGAAGAGATAGTCACTGAAGTACAGGATACAGTTACGTAAGTTGGGAGAGAAGGGCACCAATTGCTGGGGGACCTAGCCAATGGTCATCCCATGTTCAGACCGTTTAATCAACCCCCAAAAAAAAAACCAAGGACACTACTGGGGGACCTAGCCATGGTTTCATTCTCCGCTTAAGTCATCCGCGGATGACTCGCGCAACAAGGCCCACAGTAGGCCTAGGGCTTCGTCCACGCATCGCCGTAGGCTCGAAGAACCAGTCGACCAGCACTGAAACCGCCCAAGAATACCCATTTACAGTTGGAAGAAAGTGGATGATCTCACCTTTTTATAGTTTGGTTCTCCTACTAAGTTTGGTATTCATTGGATATCAGTGTCCAAGTAAACGCCTAACATCAGCTTCCCCCAATAGGTGGTTTGGAGCGAGCCGAAGCGGTGGTTGAGTGGTTCATCTGCAGGGATGTCCCATTTACCCTCTAGAAAAGCCAGGGACCTGTTCAAATCCAAATCCAAACCACAAATCACAACCAACCAAAGGTTACCTGAAAGAAGTTGTTTTCCCCCCACCAGGAAAGAAACGGTTCAACTAAATGGGCTGTCGGTTTTCAGATTCCCTGCTAAACTTGTTTAACTTGTGGGCGAAACCCAACTACTAAACCAACTAAACACCGAAAGACTCAGGGGATTGCTGGGAATCACCAAGACAATTGAGAAACTGGCAACCTGACCTTAGCGGAACTCGAAACAAGGGGGCCCCGGATCGACGTTTTCGGCCTTGCACCAGGCTGTCCGTTTTCCGATCCCTGGCCAAAAGTGCACTTGTGGGTTAAAAATGGAAACCCGGCGTCACTAAGCCAAAACCAGGTTGAGCCGGCTGGAAAAGACACCGGATGTGGCGGAAGTGTCCAAGCGCTGGATCCGCCGAACTCTCTCTCAACAGGGGTGAAAAGGAACCGGATGTGGCGGAAGCTTCCAAGCGTAGTGACCAAAAACTCTCGCTCAAAAACGCCGAGAGGCGTCCACGTGAGTGATAAAGCAGCTTTCACCTGTGTACCCGCGGGACAGAACCGAGATCTCGTCCCCCGCATCCGTGCTGCTGTCCCAGACCGAGTCGGAGTCCTAGCTTCGCCAGCCGGCCAGCCGGCTGGGCTGGCCCCCCAAAACCCCAACTCGTCCCGTGCTTTGTCTTGAAAAGGCCGTTGTGGGGGTTTGAAGGGAAACCGGTTCTTGTACGCGCCCTGGTTGAAAAGGGAAGCCAAAAGGACCCAAAACAAAATATGAAGGTATCCTTTAAACAGATACACTCCCAACTAGGGATGACTCCCAAATCTGGCCTTCGGGTTTTCTTGTGGCTTCCCTTTAACCAACAGGTCCAACATCCATTTCGAGCCATTGCGCACCCCCATCCATGCTGCGATAAGCCCACTTCCAACCACCGAACCTCTGGAACCTCCTGTCAGACAATCAGCTGCCACAAACCACTCCAGTGCTGGGAGACACTTTTTGGCTCGAGCCTGGGATTGCTTCAATTCCCTCCTTCCCTATTGCACCAAGAACAGAACCTGACCGGCGCGCGCCTCATGGCGTTAGGTGTAATCCTGATACCCAGCGTTCGTCAAAGATGAAAGTGGGGGCCCACTGACAAGAAAAGATGGCACCAAATAATACAAGGTAAAGAGAAGATGAACCGACATGAAGGTGCCATCAGAATCCTTTTGTAGGAGCTCTTGGGATTCAAGAACCTGTTATCCTTGGCGAGCCACAAATCAAGGGTTAACCGATGGTGGCGAGGGAAGGTTGGTTGGTGTATCTCTTCCTCATCCACATGCCACCTCTCTCTTCGTTCGTTTACCTGGCATGCGATTCCAAGAGCTGACAGGTGGGTGAATGAAGGATGGGCTTCTTGTCAGCCATTCCCTTCCTCTTCCTCATGTCACCTTCATTCACATCCTAAAGTCGTTCATTTTGGTTACATTCTGGATTGGACGGAAGGACAAGGAAGAATGGGATAATGGGTCGCTTCTCTGTTGGTCTTCATGTCCACAGCTTCATTCTGGTCTAATTCCTGTCTTTCATTATCCCATCCTGGATGTTACCATTGTGACCCAACAGATTAACTCCTAGAGACAGAGATGAGCGAGGTCGTAGGAAGGAGTTAATATGTGGGAGAGGTGACCGAGAGAAAGAGATGTCACCTACAAACCCATTCTCTCCTCCCTATCATTGACGGAGAGAGATGGAAAGACAACCAAAAATCCAGATTCCAGGATTTTATGATAGGAAAGACACACAGAGAAGAGATCCACATCCTAAAGTAATTTGTGGATGGATGTGGGAATGGGAATGTGGTTGAGGGAAAGGGATGTAGTGACCGAGCGAAGTGAGGGAGTGAATGAAGGAAGCGGGACAAAGTGAGTCTCTTCTCTTCTCACCGTCCCACCAATCAAAATTAATTTGTAAATGCTAAGTCTAAAAATAAAGTTACAAAACATAAGAATCCTATCCTATAGACGGTTATCTGTAAAATCCTCTTGACATCTTAAGTCTTCTATAGGTTTATTATTAACAATATGAAAAAGCTATTAATCTACAATATGAAAAAGACTGAGATATGAATGAATAGTAAAAGAATATGATGCATGATTGTTTTTTTCCTTTACCATTCCTACATCTTGGAATTTGAAATGGTTCTTTGACCCAACTATAAAATCCTTGAAAGCTGAGATTATATGACTTTATGGATTTGGAAACAGATAGAAATCCATAAACCCATTAGGTGAGAGATGAATGGGTGACACGAAGGAAGAAGTCACCCAATCCCTTTCATCTCCACCGTTCCCTCGCTTCTCGGGGTCACTTTCCTTAAACCTCCAAGCCTCTATTCTATGGCTTGGTGAGGTGAAGGAATGGAGGAGATGACGAAGGAATCTCATCTCCCATTCCCTTCCGGCTTATCTCATCTCTAGATGAGGCCGGGTGATATCTTCTTTACAATTATTTATGTTCATTTGTCTTATTGGTTAAAATATGTCTATAGAAGCAGCTAATATTGAAGAGAAAGGAAAAAAGACAACAGAAATCCAAATAAGAGAAAGAGAGATGGATTTCTAGATGTGTTTTATCTTAGGTTTAATTGACGAGCGAAGTGAGTGGGATTGACGAACCTTTCTGTAATAGCGGTTCATCTCTGAAATTGATGGTGTACGAGAGAACCTAACCAAGAGATGCAGTAATAACATAGTTGACAGGTAGGAAGTTGCACGCCCCTTTTTGGATGTGTTTGTTGTAAGAAAACCACCCTTTGTGGATCTCAGTTGTTCAGTGACCCTGTAAAAAAAGGGAACCCTTTTTTGGGCTTGGACCATTTTAGTGGGGCAGCCACCAAAACAAAACGGGAAAAATAATTGGAGCCACTGAACAACTGAGTCTCGGGTTGTTGTTTTCTTTGTGGGACGGATTCGCCCCCTTTTTGGATGTGTTTGTTGTAAGAAAACCACCCGTGGATGGGTCCAATCCTATTTGGAGACAAACCCCAAGCGGAATCGCCCCGGGCTGTCAACCCCCTTTGCCGCCTCGCCAATGCTGTCCAAGTTGACTTTGGAAGGGAGTGCCTCACGAAGCATCGACCAGAAGACCATGTGCGGTTGTTTTTCGCCAAAACCAAAGATGTCCAGTAGTGATAGATTCCATTAAAACCAACAGGGGAAACTTAGCACAAGTAACATGCGAAAAGAAACGACAAAAAATGCAATGAAAGAAGAGAACCAACAACATGTATTCTTATATACATATATTTCTAAGCAAATGGAAGCTGCAACACGCTCAACACGAGCGTCTTTTGAGGGATCTCTCCCCAAGAATCGCCTAGCGGGCCTTGGAGCCATCCGTGCCAAAGAAATGGTAGAGGGCTTAGGGTTCAAGGTGTCCCTTAATTCTTTAGAGGGGAATGCAGAGGGGTTCATAGATTTAGGGGTTAGGGTTTAGGGGTTAGGGTTTTTCCTGGTCCCGAAAACGAGGACCCCCCTCTTGAAAAGTCTTGAATCAGGCTACCCTTGGTCTGGCTGGGGAATTGCACCTCTTTTGAAACCAAATGATCGCTCCAAGCCACCAGTTGCTTTGGAAAACGACCTTGCCCCCGTCGAGGGTTCAAATCCCCAAACCCATCCAAAACCACCAACATAGGGTTACCTGAATTGATGCGTGGTTGCTTTACGACCAACAAGCGCCGTAAATTGTTTAAAAAAGTAACGCTTGCGTTCACGTTAACGTCCCCTCAAGTGCTTTGACGCGGTGATAGGGCTCCCTACCGCACTTCCCGTTTGCACATCACCCCATCAAAACGGGACTCACTTCAACTTGCAAACCAAGAACTCATTCTTGAAACCGCCAGGGATCATATGAGCTGTGGTGATTTTCGCAGGAAAAACTTGGAGCTCATCCCCTTCTCGTACCACATGGCCATGGGTCAAAACCCCGTACCCCCAGTGAACTCCCAATCTCCGCTAGAATAGACTATAATGGGTGGTGCACCTACCCCAAAATGGTACCATTGGTGTTGACCCACGGCCACATGTTCGTTGAGGAAACCTGCTAGGCCCCCAACCATGCGGCGTGGCCGTGCGGGCCGAGCAGCCATGCGGCCCACCATCTTTGTTGAACCCTTCCTGCTCCCAAAAAAGGGGACTCGAGCCGAAGATGTCGGGAACCCGAGGGTAGGGGTGATTTTCAGCAATCCTTGCAGTGGAGCATCCTAGACTTCCACTTTAGGGAAGCCCAGAGCGCTTGAGCTCTGGTCCGAAAAAGAAAAAAACAAAAAAGTGCCATGGACGACGTTGCCACTCTGCAGCACGTTTCAAGTGCCATCCCCAGCTGGCACCGAATCAGCCGCTCCAAGCCACCCCGAACCAGCCAGACCCAGGCCGATGAAGCCAGATTTGGACCCTTCCTCGTGGGGCAGAAGCCGGCAAAATGGTGAAAATCCGCTCCCTCTGATCAACCAAAAGCCTTTGATCCTGGGTTTCCCTGGAGAAAAAAAAAACAGGGGGAAACAAAAAAACTACTCCAAATACCCCATAATGTCCAAATGGGATTAAAGAATGCACCCGGAATAAAGACAACTGGGGGGGCCCAAAACAAATAGTAAATGCACCTGGAATAAAGACAAGCCCCTGCCCCCCGCCCCCCCCCCCGCCCATGAAAAAAACATCTCCCAAAAACACAAGTCACAAAAAAGTCACACACAAAAAGAGAGAAAGAAAGAAAGGACAGGAAGGAGAGGAGAGATAGCTACCCCTGGTCCTTGGATCTTTGGTACCTTGTTCCTTAAATCCAAAACTGTCAGCTTTACCAAACCCATGTTTTCTTACATGTCTCTTGTTTAAAACCTGCAAACAATCAAACCAACAAAGGGGGTAGTACTTCAGCCCCCAACTTGACATTATTTCAGGGGCCCCCGAAATAAAGTCTTGTTGCCTGGCCCCCTGAAAAATACAACCTGCCCAATGCAATTGCCTCTTAGCTAGTCAAGTAATTAGACAGCCTGGCTGGGTGAGGCTGGCAATGCTTCATGCTGTGTTGCTAGAATTGGACCTGCTCCCAAATTGTCAGCTTTACCAAACCCGTGTTTTCTTACATGTCTCTTGTTTAAAACCTGCAAACAATCAAACCAACAAAGGGGGTAGTACTTCAGCCCCCAACTTGACATTATTTCAGCGGCCCCCGAAATAAAGTCTTGTTGCCTGGCCCCCCCAAGAAAAACAAAAGGAAGCTCCAGCAATACTAAATCAAATGGAAACTCAGTTCCAAATCTCAAAAAGGAAGCTCCAGCAATACTAAATCAAATGGAAACTCAAGTCCAGCAATACTAAATCAAATTGAAACTCAGTTCCAAATCTCAAAAGGAAGCTCCAGCAAAACTAAATCAAATGGAAACTCAGTTCCAAATCTCAAAAGGAAGCTCCAGCAATACTAAATCAAATGGAAACTCAAGTCTACCAATACTAAATCAAATGGAAACTCACTTCACCTGGATCTCAAGATCCTATTCTGGGTACCCCCTTCGTTGAGGGGGGGGGGGGTCCCCCCTTTACTAATCCCATTTGGACATTAGGGTGGTGTATGTGCTTTTCATTGCTTTTCAAAGCACAGCTTTACTTTATGCCTCCTGCTTGGTGAGGGGTCAAATCATACTCAAAAACACCACTGTTGCTCCACCCCCCCCCCGGGTTTAAACACAAGCGCGTGTAAAAAAAAAGGCACACCGAACAATTCTCTCTAGCTGGGCCAGGCACTGGTTGCTCAACCCATGTTTTGCACCCAATCCCAAAAAGCGCAAACCTCACCCTCTCTTCGCCCGGAGTTTGGATTCCTGCGTCCCCAAATGTCCCGGATGCGACCTCAAGCCGATAAGGGAAGTCACACAAAATACCGGAATCCGCGAGCTCGTTGACTTCAACTGGCCAAGTTGAAGGTGGAAAGAGGCCCTGGGGAGATTTCCAGATGATGTTGACCCCAAACTGATAAACCCCTGTTGAGTAACATGGGGGTGTCGCCGGTTTTAGTGGGGATTCAGACCACTTTTGGAGGGGCGCCCACCCCCATACTAATAAACCGGCTCCTGGACTTTCAAGTGGCACCCGAAATGGTGGACGTACATCGGACCCACCTTTCAAGGCCTAAAGCCGGAGCCCGCATCAAGGCGCGGGTGTGTCTTGTTCGGAAATCGGACCCCCCAAACTAGAGCCCGGCTTGCCTTTGGCGTTGAAGCCCCAACTCCCCAAAAATCCACAAGCCAATCTTCGGCCGCTTTCATCAAGCTCCTACCCCCACACGAACTTACGAACTGCTCAAAAGCTTCCCCGCTGAAGCCCCCAGTTTTTGCCCCTGATCTGCTTAACTCGGACGCCCGGTGGCGAGAGCAAAAAAAATTGGGCATCCTTTGTTGGTTGGTTGAGTTAGGCGAGAACTCCACAAAACAAAAGTGAGAGAGAAGAGAAAAGGGGGCGGAATCCACTGGGTATGCAGACCAGGTCGTAAAACCTTGGATGTGTGCCTTCATGTTGCTTCAACCGACTCTTGCGCCCCCGGCGAAGCAAGACCCGCAGTTGCTGCAGGACTGCAGCGGGGGGCTAAACTCGGGTCTGTTCGGGTGAAATCCATTTGGCCATGGTTCCAAACCAATGGTACCATTTTGGGATAGGTGCACCACCCATTTTAGTCTATTTTAATGGGGATTGGGCTGTTCTCTGGGGGTACGGGGTTTTGACCCATGGCCATTTGTCTTTTCTTTTAGGGCTGTGGGTGCCCCCTGTCCTGTCGGGGGCTGAAGCTGTACTTGAACGGGCGCGAAACCTGCTTAGCTGCTTGCTTCTTGCAGAGGAAAAAAGGCGACGTCAAGGACAAATCGCCTATGAAGCGCTGCATAGTTGCTCCGTCTGAATCAACCGAGCCATTGGCCACATGGCCAGTCTTTGGAGGTGATAGAAAGAACCTTGAGGCTTGGAAACGATGGTGGGGTGAGTCTGAGGTAACCCACCGATTTGAGTTGTTGTTTTGGGGGGAGGGGGGGAGGGGGGGAGGGGGGAGGTGGGGGAATCATGATATTCCTGTTGGTGTCCCTTTACAACCTACCAAAGAGGGGTACCTTGAAAAAAACAGAAAGCCCGACTACCCCGGCCCCTCAGAGGTTGCCACGTTGACAACGAATCCGGCGGCGCTTTTGGGGGGAAGGAGCTCGGACTTTGCCAGGTGTGCCAGCTACAGGGCGACCGTCCTTCCTTTTCAGGCTGCCTTTTACACCTCCAAACCGTTCCAGCCCCACAAAAAGTTGTCCATTGAGCGGGTTGAAACGTACAATGGAGGAGCCCTTCCAAGGGTGATGAGAGGTGCTTCAAAGGCCTGGCAATGAAATGTGCTTCACTGATTCTTCTCCCCGACCGAGCAGTTTTCCTTGTTCGTCCCAGTTAAACATCACCGACATCACCCTACCAAAGGATAAGGCAGCTACCCCAAGGTGATGCTTAAACAACCTCAAAAGGGACCCTAACTACATAGGCCTTCGACCCCCCCGACCTCATTTTCTTTCTTGGGACCCCAGGAAACACTCTTTGGGTAGAGCATGTCATTTAGCCGCTTTCCCAACATGGATATCGATCAATTATAGGAATAAGGGATCCCAAAGGAAAGGGTATACATGGCAAAACCACCGTTGAACAACTAACGGGGACATTCCTGGCTACATATAAGGGATCCGCCGGGGATACTTGAGCTTTGTTTTGCACGCCCGCTACACAGGCCGCTGAGTCTGGCAAATACCAGGTGATTGGATGTCGCCGACATTCAAAACCTTCTGAGTGATACTCCTACTGAATGTGTGGCAAGGGACCTTGAAAAGGCCATTTCAACCCGGGTCGCCCATCTCAAACTCACCAAAAGAACATGAACACATGAAACCTACTTCTGAGATTCTGCCTGCAAGGAAGTGCTGCGCTCACTTCCAGCACGTGAGGCCAAGATCATTCTTGCTCAAAAGGCAGGTGTTGCTGTAGACCGTGTTCTTGTAGAGCTTGAAATCAGGCTCATCAGTGTTGGTATAGTCTGCCAGCTTGATCCCGCCTGCACCCCTCTTGGCCTGTTTCACGTTTCCTGAGCTGTCATACCACCACATGGTGAACTTGTCGTTGCCGAGATCTTCAAGCTTCAATTTGGTGTAGCTCTGGCTCCCTTGGGCCTTGCAGTAAGCCACAGACATTGAGCTCGTTCCACAGGTCACTGACTTGCCCGAGGCACTGCGGCGACGGGTGCCGTACTTAGACTGGAGCGTGCAGTACCCATCTCCCTGATCCACAAACAAGAACTGGTCCCGGTTGTTTGAGTTTGTGCTGCAGCTGGCAGTGTCCAAGCTCGCTGCACCTCCAGTGTTGGGACCCTCGAGGCAGCTGCCCCCATAAATCGTAAAGGCAAGCGAGTAGGAGTCTGTGCTGGACCCGCAGTTCACGGTGGTTGTTGTGGTGGTTGTACGCCGTCGGCTGCGCCGGCGCCTTGAGTTCTTGCCCTGGACCGCATCTTCCAGCTCCAGTTCGGAGTCCCCACGGGCGCGGGCTCTCTCCACCAGGGAGTCCTCGATGTCCTCCAAGTCCTGCTGGATGCGTTCTGCAACCTCTGCCTCCGTGTGGTCAGCAGCAGAAGCTTGAAGTGTGCGATTGGCAGCGGCAGAAGCTTGAAGCAGCACTGCGCTTGCTGCCTTCGCGCCCTCGCACTGATCACTCTCCGATCGGACCACCGCAAAGAGGACAAGGCACAGGTGCAAGATGCTGCGGCTCAATGCAATCATGGCGGCAATGACTAAAAGTGAGACGAGTATCAGGGTAAGATGAGCAAAAGCTTCGCGGCCATGAGCGAAAGTGCACCAAGCTGAGTGTGCAAGGAAGAACCGACGTGTGAATCAACATCAGTTGGACTCTATGAACATATATGCCCCCCCAAAAAGAAACGAAGAAATGGGTGGTGTCCTTCTGGTTTCTCCTTTAAAACCACCTCAATCAAACCCTCCAGCTTTCGAAAGCTACCAAAAACAAGGCAGGGATAGTGCAGGCGAAGGGACATAGCATCTAGGTTGAGACCATCCCCAGTCTCAGACAATGGGCACATCCGGATCACTCGTGGGACCAATCCAACGGCGAGATGGGGTCGG